GTAATTTTTAGTGTCCGCTCTGCTCGAAATCTTACCTCACATTTTTTGGCCTTCGAAGGCATATGCAATGTCATCAAGACGGTCGGGTAGATCAAACATGCGTTCATTGCCAGAAGCATTACAAGTAAGACGATTAATTTGAAGTGTACCTTCAAAAAAGTTATACATTAGGGATACGGTAGGAGGGCTATTTATCAATTTGAATTGTTGTTATGAAGTTTTGGATCTATTAGCCTTCCCAACTGCCAGCCTCTTCAAGTTTCTCCCCATTTTTTCTATCTTCGTTCATTTCTTTTTCCATCCTCTACCGTATATGTATGACTTGACTCAGAGCATAGATACTGTAGATGTAATCATCAGCGAAAAAAGCTGAAGTTCTTTCCGATAAGATCGCCTCGATTCGTCTTTTCCGGGTGGCAATATTTTGATGCAGGAGAGCACACCTGCGCGCACCTGTTCGTCTGGGTGTTACAAACGTAAAGAAAACCGGAAAGCTCTGAAACAGGTGCCCTGAGTGTAGCCGAACTTGATTGTGGCGATTTGTAGGGATTCTGTTCCCGTAGGGAAAAAATAGTAGATTTTGAGCGAATATTTGTGTGACTAATAGCTTTGTTGATTTTGCAGTTGAAATGTTTTTTGTTGCGCAAGATTCGCGCTCTTACTCGGGGTTGTATAATCTCTTCTAGTGAAAATTTAACCTCCTGAGGAGATGTCCATACAAAAATAAGGTCAGTTTGGAATTCTTCTAGTGTAGGACATATCCTGGTAAGGGATGTCCCGTAGTAAATATTTTTGCAGGAGGGATTTGAAAAAATGAACCTTGAATTAATCAAAACATTTTTTAACACTTCTTTTTGCACTATTGATGTTCTAAACCCTTATCTCAGTTGAGATCTTGACTTATTCACTGAAAAAAATTGACGTAATCAAATCTTTTTCTCATCATTATTTTTTTAGCGAGCGACTTAATCTAAAAATACAGTACGCTCAACGCGCCGGACAATTTCGAGCGTACTTATCTCGTGACTTGATTGATTTTATAAATATTTTTTATTGACATTCATTCACATTAGATGCAAACGTATGACTTATAGGGTTGGGGAACTCCGGCACTTCATGGGAACCTGGGAGCTGCGGGGGAACATTCCTCGGGTCACCAAAGTCCCCGGAAAGGCCGCAAAAATTCCGCATTTTGGGGAAAATTTTTGCGATAATCCTGCGGAAGTTGGATTGCGTGACGTCAAAGTTCTCAAGTTGTCATTTTCAAGAGTGCCTGATCTCTGTATTGAGTAAGCCCTCAGGAAGTTCGAAAAAACCGCTTGTCCTCGCAAGGTTCCTGTGACTTGTCTGGGGAAGATCGAGAGTTGCCATTTTGAGCTTTTCCAGCAATATATCTCAGTCATAATCCTGAATTTTTTTAACTCCAGTTTCACTGAGCGATTCACTTCTATATTTTTAGATCACCTGGTGCACTGAAGATGCATCTAAAAACACATTCTCTACCGTGCGTTTGCGAGAAATGCGGAAAAAGTTTTAGTAGGCCTTGGTTGCTAAAAGGTCATCAGCGAACGCATACAGGTAAGTGTTGAGAATTTTCTCAAATTTTGGGCTGATTTCTTTTCAAATAATTTTTTGACAATGCGTTGGAGGTATAACTTAGGTGATTTTTTCGATTTATACATGATTTAGGTGAAAAACCGTACGCATGTTCGTTTTGTGGCCGAAATTTCGCTGATCGTAGCAATCTCAGGGCACACGAACAAACACATTTTCCGCAAAGAAAACACAGGTAAGTTTCCCTTCACTTGATCAAAAAAAATTAACGAATCAATATTTAGATGTGTCTACTGCGATCTGTCATTTGCTCGTGCACAAGTGCTGGAAAAACACAAAGCAATTTGTCCGTCAAGACTTGACGAGAATTCCAGTTGATAGAGAAAAGGAATAAAGATTTCATATAATGGCTGTTTCTACTTCTAACAAAAAGGAATAAGGAAAAAATAGATAGGGAGCTTAAAGAGGAACGATATTTAACGTAAGT